AAAAGATATTTCGTTATACAAATTTGCCATGTTAAACATATTTTTAGTTTCATGCTGTGAAAAGCAGTCTACACATAATTAAAACAAAAAGACACAACGTAAGCCCGCCCACCCGCCCTATCGCAATTGTGATGATTTTTTTTATTCGCCGTGAACCAAGAGGGCGGAGCTTAGCTGCAACATACTTTTTCTTTACAAGAAATTAAAAACATGTTTTTGTGTATCGTTTTTCTCAAAAAATACCATGCACATTAAAAGAAAAAACGCAAAATATAAACATTTGCCATTTCTAATTTACAGAATTTCTAAGATCTTTGGAGTTTCTGAGGAACCTTTAGATTCTTTGAAATTTTTGAAATCTTTACAATATTTAGGATCCCCGGAATTCCTATAATCTTCAGAACTTCATTTCTAGTCTCCTTGGGATTAAAAAAAAATCTTTTCGGATCTTTCGTATTTTTAGTATTTTCATGATTTTAAAACCTTCAATTTTTGCAATTCCTAAAATCCTGGTAATCCTTAGAGTTTTTGGCATCCTTGAAAGCTCGAGAAGTTTTAGAATGTTTAAGAATTATGTAATTTCTAGAATTCTTTCAAATTATGGAAATTCAAATATTTTGCAGATTTTTCACTTTCTAGGTTTTCCTAGACTTTCTAAAGTTTACAGATGTCCAAGATTTTCTAAATCTTCAGCCTTTTTGGAATTGCTGGATTTTAAAGAAAATAATTAGGTCTTTCCAAAATTTAAATAAAGTCTTTTAGAGACATTTACGATTTTTAGAATCTTTGGTTCCTCAAGAGATTTTTGGACGTTTAAGATCTTAATTTTAAATTTAAATTTAAATCTGGCATTTTACGAGTTTTACAAGTTTTTGAATATCTGGATTATTTGGAATATTTGAAAATATCAGCCTTTTAAAAATTTTTTTGTAAGTTTGAGTCCTTAGAGTCTTTAGAATCTTTAGAGTTTTTAGAGTCATTAAAATCATCATGCTCTCTAGAATTCTAGAATTTCTAGGATATTTGGTATCTTCAGGATCTTTAACAATTTTAAATTTTTTCTGGATCTTTCTTTACAATTATAATATCTCCTTGAACTTTGAAATTTATGATCTTTAAAATCTATTGAATATATGGAGTCTTTAAAATCTTCGAAATTCTCACTTTTCCAATTTTTTAGATATTTCGTTCAGTTTTGTGATGTTTCAATATTTTTGACTTTTCGGTTTTTGGGCTGCTGCATTTTTTGGTTTCTCAATTTTTTACTTTTTGGATTTTCAATTTTTCGTTAAACTTTAGATTTTTCAATTTTTCGAATGTTGATTCTAATTGCAAAATCCATATTTTCTAAGAAAAAATTACCATTTTAAACGTGTTTTGAGTTTCTAAGAATAAAAAAATCATAGGGCGGGGCTATATTTTTTTTTGAAAAATCACTTTGAGTTATAGTATCATTAAAAAACGATCCGGGGGACCGTAAACTGTACGAGTGTTATTAAAAAAAATTGGAATAGCTAATGCCGTAATACCGACCTTGACCCTTGTCGGAATTTTGTCTGATCTGCTCTTTATTGCGTTCTAGGCGTATTACTGGCAGCCGTAATGTAATTATTATCGATCTGCCGTTGTAGCGACATAATTCGTTGTTTTTTTATTTTGACGACTTCCAGCGGTATTTTTATCGCGTCCGGGAAGAATAAATATATTCTTATTATATCTGGGCATTAGGATTCTCTTAGAAATTCTCAATATATTTTATTCATGTTCTTTGACCCCGCACAATAAAAAATATTATGGCTTACGTTGCGGGCACGTCGCTTTTGACACTATAAAGGATTGCATCGGCATAAAGCATATCACGGAATACCATAAAATATTTCATTTTCCATTGTTACGAATCCATATGTCAAATTCCTTTGAAATGAATAAAATATGGGGGATAAACTTTACTTCTACATAACAAATTTATTAGCTCCATAAAATCTTTTATCGACAGGTTGAAATAATAACTGACTTACCATCAGGTAATAAAACGGTTCGAATAAAATAAATTCTCTCGCCACATCTCGTCTCATTCCGGGCGCCGAGATTTTCCAGACGACAACTAAAATATGGAAAGAAAAAGAAACGCAGCGCGACAAGGTTTCAAATTATAATTTCAGACAAATGCAGCAATTTGCAAGATTTCTGCGTACTGCAATCGAAACGTAATGAAATATTCAGCACAACAGAGCGAACTTTTCCAATCCCAAGGTTCACATTATTTATATTTGCCAGTAAGATATTTTCTTCTAGAACACCTGGGAAATCGCTCGGATAAACTCAACAAAATGAATATGAACGCCCACCGTCCTTGAATATTACATAGTGGCTACATGCTGCATCCCGCCTCTTATAATATGCGAACAGAATAAAATATACATAAATCCAAGTGAAAAAACGGCGAATCGCTGCGGGAGAACGCGCCAAATTAACCGTCAAATCTCCCGCGGAAAACGCGAAATGAAAAGCAAAACGTTCCGCCTTATAGATACGAAAAACACTTAACGCGCTCACCTCCCGAGGATTTTTTTACTTAATAATACGCCAAAAAACACCTCCAAACTGAATTTATATGCGAACGAGTTCCGCGCGGTTTCACAGCCGACCCAACACCAAAAACGCTGAAATTTGAACTATTATTATTAGAACACCACAAACATTATAACTTTGTCATCTTTTTGGTATAACATTATTATTCATGTATGCACGATATACCTACGGATGGAATAAAAACCTCGGATCGATGCGGGTGGCGGCAAAATTAGCCGCCAAATCTCGCGTTTCGAACGTGAGAAAATAAGAAACAGAGCATCGCCGTATTTTCATATGACAACGACTCACGCCCACACGTCATCGCTTTACTACTTATTTGTTCCATTTGCACGTCGTTCGTTTTGAGACAATTCGATTTCGACGGTGATATTTGTTTTTCGCGATCACCCTAATCTTTTCGAATGTATTCCGTTAGGGGTTGATTCACTGCATCGGCACGGATATCACAGCGGTGGATCAAATAGACAGTCGGACTCCCACGCTCGGCTATTATGTTCCCGGCCGCAGAAATATCGCCCTGCTGGTCAATAATGGGAGCACAGATCGGGATCGACTTTTTCATTTTTTTAAAAACGGCTTACTCGTTTCGCGCCGCCGGAATCGCTTTTATCGCCAGCGAACGGCGAATTTCCGTAATGGCGTCAGTTACGCGGATTCGGCCCTAATGACTGTCTTTTTCGCGTGTGATGTATTAAATCGGCATCAGTTTACAGAAATGTTACGAAAGTGACGATATGTTGAAATAAAAAAGTCGGCGGGTATAAATAGGGGTTGATTTCGCGAGTGCCGAAAATAAAAATGGGGGAGCGAACGTGTAGATATTTAAGGCTTGTCGAAAGCTAATGAACCGACGGTTAATTCATCTTTTGTCCCCTGGCCGTAAACCCGACTTTGAATTTTTGCGGATTACAATAAAATCACTCACTTTTAGTCGACTAATTCAAAGATCACAAAACTCCCATAAAAACCGCTTTCTTTCAAGATGCCTCAATTAATCGCCCCTTTTACTAAAATACAAGTAATAACGAGGTCGCAACTTTAAATTGGCCATTTTGTAATACTTACTGCTCAATAATGTTTAATGAATCATAACAATGGACTTTTTACGGCGCTCTCACAAAAAGAGGAGTCACTTTGATTTTACAACATTCCATAATCTTCAATCAAATCATTTGCTCCCAATAATTCCGAAAAATTCGACTCAGGTAACCGACTGCGAAACTTCATCAAGCCCGGATTCTTTCAAATACGACTCGAAAATAAAATACCGCAACATTAATTTAAAATTTTAATTAAAATGAGCACCGGAATTCTTTTATTAGCCGGAAGTTTTGTTTTAATTTCTAACCGACGTTGTTATTTAAATGTTTAACGAGAGCAAAGTTGATTGTGTTGTGAAGCGGAGATAAGGGGCGAAGTGCACATCTAAATAGTCGTTACTCTGGCCTGAATTATTACAGACATCATCCGGCCAAATTTATCTACGTAACTAGCAAAGTCACGTACCAAATTTGAAAGTTATACATCAAAGCATTCGAACTTATTGAATAAAGCAGCCACTTCGACTCAAAAAGAAATGGATTCTTGACGATGGCGCTTCACATTGATGCCGAGCGAATTCCCCACTAGGTACGGAATAACGGGCTTTGCTAGAGAAATATTTTCATAAAGCCTAATTCCAGATCAATGACAAACTTTTGAAATTTTCCTAATCGACAACCTACCTGCGGCTCCTTGTTATCCTAATCAATCTGAAGAACAAGTACCCGACCCAATTGCTTTGTCACACATAGGCCACCTGCGGCTCAAAGTTTCGTGAAACAAAAAAAATATTAGTGCAAACAGGCATAAAGCGAACTGACACAATACGTAAAATCCACGACATTTGGTAAAAACACTCAGAAGACGCGAATACCTAAAGTAACCCTGTTGTTGTTGCTAATTATAAACCTCAAAATAATATATACATATTAACCATGATTTAACGAAGTGGTATTCCTAGACTGGTGAAAAAAAAAGACTTGTAGTCTGCTGGAAATAAAATTATTATTATTATTATTAAAAAAGCTTGTCTCTGGAGGCAGGAAAGTTCGTCGAGCCAACTCCGCGCGCTTTTATTCGTTAAGCACTAGCGAAAATTGCTCAATTCGCTCAACACCTTCAACTTTATCCATCGAATTAGCTCTTTTATAAAAATCAATCTCAAACTTGTAATAAACTGCCTTCTTGTTTCCCGATAGCCGATTTCGTGCCGAAGTCCGGAATTAATTTTAAACTTATACACAACATAATTCGATAAGTTTTAATTGGCACTTTGAAAAAGTTCCCGGCCGAACGTGCCTTATTTAAAATTTAATGGAAATTTTGATAACACGCAGAACTTTGATGTGGCCACATTGTTGCAGGCACCCCGACGGAAAATGTCATATCTGGATCAGCGTCACTTTGGGAGGTCTGAGCATGCTGGCGAAGGAGACGGGAGTCTCGGTTTTTTTACTCAATTTAGCCTACGACTTTTATCGACATTGGCCCGCCGTTAAAAAGTAAGTATGCATGACGGCCTATGGACTCGTCCATATTTAAGGGTCCTTACATAAATTTGCGGCCAGTTTTCGGGGGAAATTCGGCTGTGGTCTAGCCGCATAAATAATGATCAGGCTAGTCGTAAAACTCAAAAATACTGTGTGTGTTTTTTTGGCTATTTTTTAACGTAATGTGAATGTTTACCAAATTAGGGGGAAATTTAGCGAATGGAATGAATTGGACATTGACGGCTGTGCGCATCGGATAAATTAATTAAAATAGTTGCCAAATTGCGGTAATTGTAGAATTACGTGAAATGGGCAACTGCTGTTTTCAGCGTGAACCAAATTAAAATTATCTAAAATCAATTATATTTAACATAATAGTTACAATGAATTTCGATCAAGTATTGTTGACACAGTCCAAATTAACTCAAAATACGAACAATGTATGGGTGTTTTATTATTCCGTTCGCGCTAAGTGAATTTAATACCCGCTTGGGGTCGGCTAAATTTTTCCCGAACTTTCTCCGATAACTAATATACACCAGAAAACGAAAATCGAGATTTGGATTTTAATTAATGCTGCCTGCATTGTTTCTAGAACAATAGTTGAAGTGAGATGGAACCGGGAGACCCAACAATTTGCTAATAGAGCTGCAAAAGTCCTTACATCGGTAAGTGCAATTAACTTTATGAAATCAATATTTAAAACATTAATTAACAACTCGGAGCAGTTTCGTTCAAGTCGAAAACTCTTCGGATTAAATGGGCCCTAAAATCCGTTTTTTTGCTCAGCTTCGGTAATGAATTTTTAACCGATGGATGCTTAATGCGTTTGGAAAAAATCCATCGTTTAGTAAAGGATAAAGCTAACGCGAAAAAGGTTCGAGTGGATTAGTTATTAAAAATAATTCATTATTTAGAGGCACCGAGAGCCGGTTCGTTTCTGTGGTGCGCCATTTTACTTTTTAATGAAACGAAATGTTCCTCAAGCATCCTCATTAATTAAACATTTTGTGTTATAATTTTAATGTTGTGTACACATAAAATTCCGTCTCTAAGTGAACATTATTGTTCTTAAACATTTACACGTGGAGCGAGGCTGGAATTAATTAGAAACGGGGATAGAGTGTGCGGCGTAAGTGCTGGTCGCTTAATAAAAATGTTATTTCGTGACGCACACAGGGTGGGTAAAACGATTCCGCCCCATCCAATTAAATAGCGTTCTATCACCCCGCGATTCTTGCACGTGAAAAACTCGATTACGCTATTTTTAATCAAATTCAGTTATCACCTATTAAAACTTCATCAATCAGCGACCATTTGTTATTGTCAGAGCGATCAATCATCACAGTGAACCTCATAGTCAAGGAGAACGGTAATTACCAGTTAATGACAGTCACGATCAAATAATTTATAACGAGAACTGTGCCGCCTGCTCCTCGATCACACCCCACTAAGCAGATTTTTTCCGATCCGCTCCCCAATAATCGCTTCCTTATTTTCTTTATGGGCTTTAAATTTCACGAAACGCGCGTCCGCTTTAAAGAATTAACAACTTTCCACACTCGCGAATATAAACAAATCGAAATCGAGCGCGCCAGTGTTTCAAGTGCTTTGACGAGCAATTCGGCGATTCGCTAATGCAGAATTAAAAAATAAACATTTGAATGAGTTGTAAAAACAGTTTTACTGGCCAGTAAACACGGGCGTGTGTTTAACACGTTCGAAATTGTGGCGGTTACTAAAATAAGCGTGAATAAAATTTTACCCAACGAGGAGGGAAAAGCAATACATTAAATTATGACGGAATCTCGATTGCTATAAATTTAAATTTTGAGGAGTGGCTGCGAGCAGTTAAGCTAACTGTGATAATTATGGTGGGCGGTTTCTTGAACTCGGATTTATTTATATTCGAGGGTCAAAATTATATTTTTCTCCCACGCACTGGATCTATAAATCAAATAGTTAAAGCTATATTTGAAAATTTTCACCAAATAAATTGTTTCGTTTAAGTATTAAATTAAATATATTTAAAATTTTCATATCAACAAAACACAACGTTACATTATTGAAGCAGTGCAGACATTCGTGGTTAATATTTTCGCAACAAAAACAACGTTGGTTTGTTTAATGAAAAATAAATGTTGGTTTTCGATTTAGATTTATTTATTTCTGCTTTGTCTTAAATAAATTCGATAGTTTTTTTTATAAAATTCTGTGTTGTTGTTGTTTCTTTGTGTTCTTTCAGTCGCGTTGATTTGAATTGGATACACGAGTTTATTTTTAGAAAAGCCGTGTTCTGCTTGATATTTAACGAGTAACAACGACGTTACAAAATTAATGCAACAGTCGAACGCTATTCGAAAGTAATATTACAAGTCACAATCAAAGTTTAATCCCCCGCTCACCATAATTCAACAACGACAAACATCACAATTTAAACCATTTCCCTAAAATTTTCAGCTTCTTAATTAAAGTAGAAGCCGTTTCGCCGAGATTCGGTTTAATACGAAACCCGGAGCCCCGTTCGCGAGTAAAAAATCCCATCATGAAAGTGAGATATCTGAGTTATTACCTCTTATTACCCGGTTCCATTTTTTGACACCGGTGATACCGATTCCTATTTTGTCTGGTATAGCTCGAGATTACGTCTCTGATATAAAGTGGAGCTGTTGGAAGCCATAAACAGTAATAACAAGCTTTTCGTGATTCACAGTGCAAATTTTCGCCGTCGTAAACTTCAGGTCGAACTACTTTACTTGCACCGGTGGCATCGATGAGTGCTGCTTTATGGACCGAACGAGATAAGATATTAAGGTCCCGATGCAAAGCCGAGTTTTACAAATTAGGCGCTCCGAAAAAAAAAAGAGTTTCTGGAGATGCAAATCAGTCGAAGAGTGCAGTTATTTGCATAAGTTTGTGCTTTGAAAGTTCGGCGCAGAAAAAAATAATTACTTGTTGACGCTCAAAGCACGTAATAACTTGTAATATTTGTTGAGGAACATCAGCGGAATTATGTTTTCTCTTCGTAAGTCCATCACGGCTAAGCAAACCCAAACAGCCGCATTTTCCTAAGATAAATGAAACATTACGGTTCACTAAAAGCGTTTTTATACCAGCCTTAATATTTCTTTACGGTGCGTTGGTATGATAATATACATCCTAATATTTTTCAACTTGGTAAAAAATTGTTATTACGTCTACTACTTTGTAAGCGTAAAGTTCGAAACTGCTCCTGGAAGTTGAATAAAATCTTTAGAATTATTTAATGCAGCGTCGCTTTTATTGCGCTTTATTTTAAAATAGTTTCAGGTAAATGAGTGAGCAGGAGCATAAAGTTGCTTCGAGAATAAAGTTTCGAAGAAAATAAAAATGTTGTTTATGTTTATGCTCGTGCAACATGGTTAAACTCTATAAACACACGTGTACGCCGCCACAATAAAATATTATTGATTGCAGCTCGGAATACTGCTTGCCATTAGGTTGGCACTGCTGCAAGGATCTCTGCCTAAGTTTTCCCAGCAGGATAATCCAACTGCTTTCCATCCGTCGCTCTACGTAAGGTAAGAATCTTCATCTTTATTTTGTTTGTTTTTTTCTGAACATGTGTAGCATGTTTTCAACATCGTAACACTTACATCTCTACTTAGTTTTATACCGAGTGTAGTTCGTCAGATAAAAGAGAAATGATTTTTTTTAATTTAACGCCTCCACCATTTTTACACCAAATTTTAAAGTTACTTAAATTCTACCAGAAAGACATCTGCCTAATCTGAAATCTTCTCAAGATCACAAGTATATTCTTTTTTTGACTGTAGATCCTCAAATAAGAGAGAACTGAATTTTTAATCTTGCGCCTCCACCATTTTTTGACAAAATTTCAAAATTGTTCAAATTCTCCCGAGAAAGTATTGATCCGAGCAGAAATTATCTCGGGATAACAAATATATCCCTCTTTTAACTCTGGGTCGTTAAATCAAGCAGGAATGAATTTTTATTCTGGCGCCTATACCATTTCTAGACAAAATGTAAAAGTTGCACAAATTATCCCGAAAAGGTATCTATCTGAACCGAAATTTTCTCAGGAATACGAATCTATCTTCATTTTTCCTGTGGATCGTCAAATAAAGAAACAATAAATTTTTATCCCGGCGCATCCACCATTTTTGACAAAATTTAAAAGTTGCTCAAATTCTCTCGCAGACACCTGAATGAAACGAAATTTTCTCAGGATCACGAATCTATTCTTATTTTAATGGTCTGTTGTGAAATAAAGAAGAAAAAAATTTTTAATTTCGCGCCTCCACCATTTTTATTCAAAATTTGAACCTGGCTCAATTCCTGTCGAAAAAGCATCTGTCAGAGCCGAAATTTTCTCAGGAATACGAATTCGTCCTAAGTTTTCCTCCGCATCCCCAAATAAAGGGCCAATAAATTTTTATGCCGGCTCATCCACCATTTTTTGACAAAAATTTGAAAGTTGCTGAAATTCTCCCGAAAAGGCTTGAACCGAAATTTTGTCAGGATCACCATTCTGTCTTTATTTTTCCTGTAGATCGTCAAATAAAGAAACAACAAATTTTTTATCCCGGCGCATCCACCATTTTTGACAAAAATTGAAAGTTGTTCAAATTCTCTCGCAAAAACACATGAATGAACCGAAATGTTCTCAGGATCACGAATCTGTTCTTATTTTAGCGGTCTGTTGTGAAATAAAGAAGAAAAAAATTTTTAATTTGGCGCCTCCACCATTTTTATTCAAAATTTGAAACTGGCTCAATTTCTGTCGCAAAAGCATGTCTGAACCGAAATTTTCTCAGGAATACGAATTTGTCTTAATTTTTCCTCTGTATCCGCAAATAAAGGACCAATAAATTTTTTATCCCGGCTCATCCACCATTTTTAGACAAAATTTTGAAAATTGCTGAAATTGTCCCGAAAAGGCTTCTGTCTGAATCGAAATTTTCTCAGGATCACGAATCTGTCATTGTTTTTCCTGTAGATCGTCAAATAAACAACAAATTTTATCCCGGCGCATCCACCATTTTTGACAAAATTGAAAGTTGCTCAAATACTTTCGAAAAGACACCTGAATGAACCGAAATTTTCTCAGGATCACGAATCTATTCTTATTTTAAAGGTCTGTTATGAACTAAAGAAGAAAAAAATTTTAATTTGGCGCCTCCAGCATTTTTATTCAAAATTTGAAACTGGCTCAAATCCTGTCGAAAAAGTATCTGTCTGAACCGAAATTGTTTCAGGAATACTAATTTGTCTTCATTTTTCCTCTGCATCCCCAAATAACGGACCAATAAATTTTATATCCCGCTCATCCACCATTTTTAGACAAAGATTTGAAAGTTGCTGAAGTTCTCCCGAAAAGGCTTCTGTCTGAACCTAAATTTTCTCAGGATCACGAATCTGTCTTTATTTTTCCTGTGGATCGTCAGATAAAGAAACAATAAATTTTTATCCCGGCGCATCCACCATTTTTGACAAAAATTGAAAGTTACTTAAATTCTCTCGCAAAGACACTAGAATGATCCTAAATTTTCTCAGGATGACAAATCTATTCATATTTTAACGGTCTGTTGTAAAATAAAGAAGAAAAAATTTTTAATTTGGCGCCTCCACCATTTTTATTCAAAATTTGAAACTGGCTCAATTCCATCGAAAAAGCATATGTCTGATCATAAATTTTTTCAAGAATACGAATTTGTCCTAATTTTTCCTCTGCATCCCCAAATGAAGGACAAAAAAATGTTTATCCCGGCTTATCCACCATTTTTAGATAAAAATTTGAAAGTTACTGAAATTCTCCCGAAAAGGCTTCTGTCTGAACCGAAATTTTCTCAGTATCGCGATTCTGTATTTATTTTTCCTGTAGATCGTCAAATAAAGATACAATAAATTTTTTATCCCGGCGCATCCACCTTTTTTGACAAAACTTGAAAGTTATTCAAATTCTCTCGAAAAGACACCTGAGTGAACCGAAATGTTCTCAGGAGCACGGATCTGTTCTTTTTTTAACGGTCTGTTTTGAAATAAAGAAGAAAAAATTTAATTCGGCGTCTCCACCATTTTTATTCAAAATTTTAAACTGGCTCAAATCCTGTCGAAAAAGCATCTGTCTGAACCGAAATTTTCTCAGGAATACGAATTTGTACTAATCTCTCCTCTGCATCCCCAAATAAAGGCCCAATAAATTTTTTATCCCGGCTCATCCATCATTTTTGGACAAAAATTTGTAAGTTGCTGAAATTCTCCCGAAAAGGCTTCTGTCTGAACCGAAATGTTCTCAGGATCACGATTCTATATTTATTTTTCCTGTAGATCGTCGAATAAAGAAATAATAAATTTTATCCCGGCGCATCCAACATTTTTGACAAAAATTGAAAGTTGCTCAAATTCTCTCGCAGACATCTGAATCAATCGAAATTTTCTCAGGATCTCGAATCTATTCTTATTTTAACAGTCTGTTGTGAAATAAAGAAGAAAAAAAATTTTAATTTGGCGCCTCCACCATTTTTATTCAAAATGTGGAACTGGCTCAAATCCTGTCGAAAATGCATCTGTCTGAACCGAAATTTTCTCAGCAATACGAATTTGTCTTAATTTTTCCTCTGCATCCCCAAATAAAGGACCAAAAATTTTTTTATTCTGGCTCAACCACCATTTTTAGACAAAAATTTGAAAGTTGCTGAAATTCTCCCGAAGAGGCTTCTGTCGGAACCGAAATTTTCGCAGGGTCACGATTCTGTCTTTATTTTTCCTGTGGATTGTGAAAAAAGAAACAATAAATTTTTATCCCGGCGCATCCACCATTTTTGACAAAAATTGAAAGTTGCTCAAATTCTCTCGCAGACACCTGAATGAACCGAAATTTTCTCAGGATCACGAATCTATTCATATTTTAACGGTCTGTTCTGAAATAAAGAAGAAGAAATATTAATTTCGCGCCTCCACCATTTTTATTCAAAATTTGAAACTGGCTGAAATCCTGTCGAAAAAGCATCTGTCTGAACCGAAATTTTCTCAGGAATACGAATTTGTCTTATTTTTTCCTCTCCATCCCCAAATAAAGGACCAATAAATTTTTTATCCAGGCTCATCCACCATTTTTAGACAAAAATTTGAAAGTTGCTGAATTTCTCCCGAAAAGACTTCTGTCTGAACCGAAATTTTCTCAGGATCACGATTCTGTTTTCATTTTGTCTGAAGATCGTCAAGTTAAGAAACAACAAATTTTTATCCCGGCACATCCAAAATTTTTGACAAAATTTGAAAGTTCCTCAAATTCTCTCGCAGACACCTGAATGATCCTAAATTTTCTCAGGATCACGAATCTATTCATATTTTAACGGTCTGTTCTGAAATAAAGAAGAAGAAATATTAATTTCGCGCCTCCACCATTTTTATTCAAATTTTGAAACTGGCTGAAATCCTGTCGAAAAAGCATCTGTCTGAACCGAAATTTTCTCAGGAATACGAATTTGTCTTATTTTTTGCTCTGCATCCCCAAATAAAGGACCAATAAATTTTTTATCCCTGCTCATCCACCATTTTTAGACAAAAATTTGTAAGTTGCTGAATTTCTCCCGAAAAGACTTCTGTCTGAACCGAAATTTTCTCAGGATCATGATTCTGTTTTCATTTTGTCTGAAGATCGTCAAGTTAAGAAACAATAAATTTTTATCCCGGCACATCCAAAATTTTTGACAAAATTTGAAAGTTCCTCAAATTCTCTCGCAGACACCTGAATGATCCTAAATTTTCTCAGGATCACGAATCTATTCTTATTTTAACGGTCTGTTGTGAAATAAAGAAGAAACAAATTTTTAATTTGGCGCCTCCACCATTTTTATTCAAAATTTGAAACTGGCTCAATTCCTGTCGAAAAAGCATCTGTCAGAACCGAAATTTTCTCAGGAATACGAATTTGTCCTAATTTTTCCTCTGCATCCCTAAATAAAGGACTAATAAATTTTTTAACCCGGCTCATCCACCATTTTTAGACAAAAATTTGAAAGTTGCTGAAATCCTTCCGAAAAGGCTTCTGTCTGAACCGAAGTTTTCTCAGGATCACGATTCTGTCTTTATTTTTCCTGTAGATCGTCAAATAAAGAAACAATAAATTTTATCCCGGCGCATCCACCATTTTTGACAAAAATTGAAAGTTGCTCAAATTCTCTCACAAAGACACGTGAATGAACCGAAATTTTCTCAGGATCACGAATCTATTCTTATTTTAACGGTCTGTTGTGGAATACAGGAGAAAAAAAATTTTTAATTTGGCGCCTCCACCATTTTTATTCAAAATTTGAAACTGGCTCAAATCCTGTCGAAAAAGCATCTGTCTGAACCGAAATTTTCTCAGGAATACAAATTTGTCTTAATTTTTCCTCTGCATCCCCAAATAAAGGACCAATAAATTTTTTATCCCGGCTCATCCACCATTTTTAGAAAAAAATTTTGAAAGTTGCAGAAATTCTCCCGAAATTTTCTCAGGATCACGATTCCGTCTTTTTTCCTGTAGATCGTCAAATAAAGAAACAAATTTATA